TGACTCCTGCTCTCCTGTAACCCGCCTCCTGACTTCTGGGCTTCCCTCCACCTTCCCTTTGAAGAATACATGCATTTTTATTTTAGTTATCTTTCATCTAGAAAAAGTTATTTCTGTAAGCAATTTATTGCTAAGATTCATTACACTGTTTCAAGAAGCTATACAGGTGGGACTCTAGCAGGGTTCATTTCTGGACTGCATTGGGTACTGTGTTGCTTTCAGTTTCCTCCGAGGACGGTGTTGAGGTGATTGCTCTTCAACACATTTCCTCAAGTGCTTTTATACAGGTGTCTCTTGGGCACAGAGTGAAGACTGCAATGGCAGAATTGCAGCATGATACAAGTTTGTAAGACAAACTTTCCTCAAAGAAACAAAACTCTGTACCTGAAAGTAAATAATTGGACAACTGGAGATTAAACTCCAGCACTTGGAAGGCTGAGGCTCCCCTCCCCTTCTTCCTCTCCCTCTCAAGAAACACACAAATGAAAGTCAAGATTAAACATCTAGCTGGGTGCCAGTGGCTTCCATCTGTAATCCTAGCTACACAGGAGGCTGAGAGCTGAGGATCTTAGTTCAAAATCCACCTATGTAAAGAAGTCCATGAGACTCTCATCTCCAATTAATCACCAAAAACCAGAAGTAGAGGTGTGCCTCAAGAGGTAGAATGCTGTGGGCTAGGGAGTTGGCTCAGAGGTAGAGTGCTTGCCTCACAAGCATGAGGCCCTGGGTTCGATTCCTCAGCACCACGTAAGCAGAAAAAAGCCGGAAGTGGTGCTGTGGCTCAGTGGTAGAGCACTAGCCTTGAGCTGAAGAGCTGAAGGACAGTGCCCAGAGTTCGGGCCCCACATCTGTCAAAAAAAAAGAAAGAGGTAGAGTGCTAGCGGTGAGGAGGCTAAAGGATAGTGCCCAGGCACGAGTTCATGCCCAGTACCTGCACATAGACACACAAAAAAGATTAAATATTAACATTTTTTTCAAGGCTACATTTGTGCTGTTCTTTTTTTACTTTTCCGTGTTTGTGTGCGTGCTTGCATGCGCTTGCGTGCGTGTACACATTCTTTTTCTAGAGCTTGGACTCAGGGTCTAGGCGCTGTCCCTGAGGGTTTTTTTTGTTGTTGTTCAAAGCTAGTGCTCTATCACTTGCTCTACCATTTCCAGCTTTTGGGTAGTTAATTGGGCTGGCTTGGAATTGCAATCCTCAGATCTCAGCCTTCTTATTAGCTAGGATTACAGGCGTTGAGCCACCAGTCCCTGGCTATGCTTTTATTTTCTTCTGATACAATTTACTTATTTTTGTCTAAATTCTTAAAGCATTGGCTTAAGTTCTCTTTTCCCAAATGGTCTTTTCTGTTTAAACTACTGCAGTTGTTTCCCACTTGGAATCTCTCAATAAATATACAGGCTATATTACTCCAGAACTTTATTCTTTTGAATGTTGGGACTTATATTTTCATGCTAACATGCTTATAATTTTAAAAACTTGAAAGATGTCTTCACTCTAACCTATTAATCACTCCTTTGTTAGAAACTGGCAAAGGAAAGTATAACTAATTGCATGTTTATAGAGAAAACTAACAATAGAAGGGCAAGTGCAATTATTTAGCTGTCGTCCGATTGTTTCAGGGGGAAGAGCTGGGCTGAAATCAAGTTTGCTCTGAAAAAACTAATTTGTCTGCCATCCCAGCTACAGGGGAGGCTGAGATCCAGTCCAGGAAAAAGGTATTCTTGAGATTTCCATTTCAACAGAAAAAGATGGGTGTGTGGCTTGTTCTTGCCATTCAAGCTAAGGTGGGAAGCATAAATAGAAAGATCATGATCCAGGCTGGACCAGGACAAAAGGAAAACCCTATCTCAAAAATACTCAGAGCCGGGCTGGGAAGGTGGCTCAGTGGTAGAGCGCTTGCCTTGCATGCCTGAGGCCCTGGGTTCGATTCCTCAGCACCACATAAGCAAAAAGAAAAA